ACATAACTTAATTTATAATTATTGCTTTTTAATTATTTTTTCAGATACAGTAATAAAATATTAAAAAATCAATTGAATCGTAAATTATCTGATAATTACTTTCAATTTAAACATAGGTGTATTAAATATAGAATATTTAATACTTAAATTCATAAAATATAATAGCAAAAAGAACATAAAACAATCACAAATTGATAAATAAAGTTTTTGATGGAGATAAAATCACAAAGGTGGGAAGTTACCTCTTAATATCTTCTTTGTACTTTCTGACTCAAATTTCACATTCTTCTGGGCTAAGCTTCCTAGGGTACAACTGCTGTTCCTTTCTTCATTATACTTCTCATAATTATCAATATTAAGTATTTTATTCTTCATATTACCTTTGAAATTTTCATAAAGTTTATCTTTTTAAGTTGATCTTCATTAGTTTATTAAATACTTTCTGTAATTTTCTTTAAAAAAATAGTAATATCAGTCCTTTTCTTATATTCTTATTATTTTTCGTCACGTCCGGTATTGCCGTTAATATTTTTTCATAATTTAATTTAGATTTCTTATAATATTTTTTTTTCTTTTAAGTAATAGGCCGCGGCGGTGCGCGTGCATTGTCGCAGCGCACCGCCTGGCAGGGTCGCCATGTAATGTCGGAACTCGGAAGGTGCTGAATGAAGGAGACGTGTTGCTTGTACAAGAACTTTAATTATACTGTGTTCTATTCTATACTTAATACTAATTTTATAAATGTATATTGTCGGAGGTAAAGGGGAGTCTACAGGGCACTACAGCACGAATGGGTCGGCTCGACCGGTGAAGGACCACGCTCTCACAGAATACCAGCGTGAAATAGCAGCTTAATGCTGCTGTGTTTCCTATGGTGAGTGTAGAGAACCGGAGATCCATTTTACTGGAAAAGAGGCATTCTATCTTAGTCCTCAGTAGATATCTATGGGTCACAGCAACTACTTACCATCAGGTGGACTGTGTGCTCGTTTGTCACCCTTAGTCTATAAAAAAAAGATGAGGCAAAAAGGTTCTCGAATAGCAGCCTCGTGTCGGTAGGCGAAGTGTTGGGCAACCCTCCACTACATGGAGTGACGACCTGGTAAGACATGCAGGAAGTAGATGGATGCAGTTGGCTTAGGACCGTGCTTTGTGTCATTCCTCGGGGGAGGCCTATGTTCAGCAGTGGACTTGTGAAGGGCTGTAATGATAATGATGATGATGAAAATCATCATAATCACAGCACAGGCAATCACAAGTACTGAAAATAGGTTATAGATGGTTAAAAAGCATCTGAGCCATTTGCGACCGTCACTTACTGCATTTTCAACAGGTCACTCCATCTTGGGGGTCGTCCAACATTGCACTTGCAGTACGGGGCTGCCACTTAAAACATTTCTTCCCTTTCAGTTGTCAGTTATTTAGTTTAGTTATAGTTGGACCCACATAGTTACCAAGATAAAATAAAGGCGTTGAAATTAGTAAGAATATGTTTTATTCAATGTAGTATTCGCGTAAATATTCCAAGAAGGTTTTATGGCAGGCCATGTCCTACCGCGCTAGTCTGATTGTCGTCAGAAATGTCGTCAGAATTTAAATATCTTGGATATTTTTTTTAATTTGCTGACGGTTTCTCGGGTGGATAATTTCGAGTTTTTTTTACTATGATTACCAAACACGAGGTAAATTAGCTCTTAACATTGTAAGAGGGGGTTTAGAGGGTCAACCTTTTAAATAGTGTGAGAGGATTGTATATAATTATCAGACTTGGAACGGGGCTTAGCAGTCCTAGTTCTAGATCTTAGTTGCTGCAACTATGGCGTGATCGCGGAGCGGGAAGAATTTCAAATTATTGTAATTCATACAAATGTGAACTGGAGCTGGTGTGTTAACTATATAGACCACCAAATTTTCTAAAGTTATGAGTAAGTAACATTTGTGTAAGTTATGCGGTAGATGGATATTAACAGGTTTGAAAAGTATTGTTTTGAGCTAATCACGCCTGGAATGTACATACGTCCTTAAATTAATAATTAGGGTGTAATGATGATAATGTATTTAGCCCGTTAGAAGTCCTGAGCCACCTGTATTGATTAAAATATGCAGAAATCTCTTATCTCCATCTGGTGAGGTCTGCTCTAAATGGCTTAAAATAATAAAAATTATTAGCAGAATGTGGTAACATCTGGTGGTGCATAATATTTTTATTTAAACAATGATTTTAGCGACAGAGTTAAAACTGTTCATTTTATCGTGTAATAAAAAAATTATCCCATGACAATTCATAAGCTTAGGTACGCCAGTACCGTAATTCGTCCCTACTGCCACCTATTGAGGGTTAGAGGAAGTATTAAGTTCCTCTTTTTGCCGCTACAAATGAGAGCGCTATGGTCGATATTTTTGAAATCGTATTGATTCCGCATGCGCAACGATATCAGCTTGGTGGGGTTACAGCATCTGAAACAGAAATTAGTAAACAAATTGATAGAAAAGGCGTTTTCACCATCTTATCACAATGAATTTGGGAGTTGTTTGGTTAATCTTGGTTTTAATCAGGAACTCTTTTGGTGAGTAGAAATATACAATTGATAAATTTTTTTGTGATGTACATAATATAATATATTATAACCGTTTAGCCATCAAAACCATTAAGCTTATTTTTAAGGAAACTTATTCGTTTCGTATTTGACTTTACTTACTCCGTATATTGTATTAAAAAACTTGTTCGAGAATATCTAAAATATTAGGTATAGTTTTAATACTTTCTGCAACTCATTTACTTTATTATACATTATTATATAAGATGTTACATTAATAATTACATCATGTAGCAGTAGACATATATAATATGTAATAATAATAATATGTAATATCTATAGCGTCTGTTAGTTATCTGAGTGAGGAAATCGTTTTTTTATATTTATGACTAGCTGATAACCGCGACTTCGTCCGTATTTTTGTGATATATTAACAAAGTTTTCGTATGTGCGAAGGAAAAGACATTAAAAAGATCGCAAGCAAAAATATACTTTGCTTACAAAATTTCTTTGTAAACAATGTTATTCGTTGCTCCGTTTGTAGCTAAAATATATAAATTATCTGGATTAGTAACGCAAGAGTAAGCGACGTACAGTTGATGGTGTAAAAAAACCCCGTATAAAAATCGTTGTTTCTTAAAAATTTAATAACTATATGTTAAATTAAGATTTAAAATATTTTTTTGGGCCAAGCGTCTAAGAAGTAAAACTTAGGAAACCTAATTGAAATCTATCCAGTAGTTTATACGTGATGCACGCACAACTGCAAACCTTTTTATTTATATAAATACCTACCATCCGGTCCGTCAAACATTGACTGACACACGAATGCAAGTGAAAATAGAAAAAATAGTAATTCGACGACAGCGCACAGCATATTTGTAATTTTCTTTTATGTCACTTAACCAACATACATTTGGAACATGCGCCATTTTAGTTCATATATAAAAAATGTTAACTTGACTTCAGCGCCATCTATTGGATCTCAACATAACCGTCTCCTTGACAAAACAAATATATTATATTGTGTGAATGAATATCAGTAACATACACACTAATGATTAAAAATATTAAAATCTTTAAGTAAGCGACTCAACATAACTACTATTAGTAGCCCTTAAACATGTGCAACCAATTAAAAGATGACTACTTTTTTTAACTTTAATTTGATGTCATACCTGAGGGTTACGACGGCATACCTCACAATCTGTAATTGCACGGGATGTCACTTTTAAAATCTAAACAGAGTACTATTACCAGCACAATAACTTGGCGGCTGAAATAGCTAAGAGGATAAACAGGTTTATTCCGGTCTGAAAGAGCCAGTGTAATTACAGGTTGTGATGCATTCCATTTCAGTCCTCATAGGTTATTGGTGTCCATGAACTACAGGTATTTACAAGGGATATTTAACAAAAAAGAATGTGCATGAATTACTTGCCTAGCTATAAAAGGCTTCTAATGGAATATTGGGTTTATAATCCTACACGTATCACCTCTTTCACAGTTTTCCATCTATGCCCATATTTCCATCTATGTTATTTTACGGGGAGCCATGCTGCAGCTATAATATAGTATAGTTGTAGCACGAATGGGTCGGCTCGACCGGGGGAGGACCGCGCTCTCACAGAATACCAACGTAAAATAGCAGCTTAACGTTTCGTATGCTGAGTGTAGAGAACGGGAGACCCTTTTTACTGGAAACGAGGCATCCCATCTTACTTACGGTACGTAATCGAGGATAGATATAGATGTCTATGGATCATAGCAACCACTTTGCATCAGGTGGACGGTGTGCTCGTTTGTCAACCTATCCTATAAAAAAGAACCCAAACGAACTCCTTAAGACTGGAAAGGACCTTAACAACTAAACTCAAAGGACACAACAACAGAGGGAGCAACTTCTTACAAATATTGATGTAATATGAGACCTTTCAAACAAAATGTTTGTAAGAAGTTTTTAATCATTAGTGCGTATATTACTGATATTCATTCACACAATATAATATATTTGTTTTATCAAGGAGACGGTTCACAGCTATGTTGAGATGCAATAGATGGCGCTGACGTCAAGTTTACAACATTTAAAAAAAATATATTATGGACTAAAATGACGCATGTTCCAAATATATGTTGGTTAAGTGCCAAAAAAGAAAATTATAAACATGCTGTGCGCTGTGGTGAAATTACTTTTTTTTTTATTTACACTTGCATTCGGGTGTCAGTCAATGTTTTACGAACCAGCTAGTAGGTATAAATATAAATAAAATTGTAGAGGTCTCATAATCACAATACTACGGTTAGTGACATGTCTCCGTGAGGTACAGTAACAGATGTACTGTACTGTATATACAGTATTCGTATTTCTACCACCTAGTACCACGGTGGTAGGAATATTTGTGACTTTCAAGTATTATGTAGTAATCTATATTGAATAAAATATGTTATTATGTTCTATTTTAGCTGTAAAATTGCTAGAAGCAAATCCAGATGTGAAACGGCTGTACGATGACCTATTGAGCAACTACAATCGGTTGATTCGCCCCGTAACCAATGTGAGCGACATCCTAACAGTGCGACTGGGTCTGAAGCTGTCGCAGCTGATGGAGGTTAATTTGAAGAACCAAGTCATGACGACCAACTTGTGGGTGGAGCAGGTAATTTTTCGTAAACAAGTTTACATTTCATTAAATCGCATCTAAAAGAGGAATCAACCACCGAGTGATCTAACGGTGACCATTACGTAGTCGTTTCGACACTCAGCGTGGCTTTAGCTATGTTACTGCTACTGCTGTTACTGCTTCCGACAAATTCATTTTTAGTTTTAATGATATAAACATACTGGCCGAAAGGAAACTTCACGCTAAAGAAGACATATATATATAACAACTTTGACAGCTATGAGGGAGTACCGTGGTATACTGAAAAGATCTGCGTACAATTTTAGAGCGTACAGGCGTGATGTTACGATGATTGATTGCGCAAAAAATGCAAAAATGTGCAATAGCAGCAATCGTGGTTGATTTGCTGGCATTTATTGGAAATTTTCGTTATCTGTCTCCAAAGTTCATCATCAAATCTTTACGAAATTTAAATGGGACCATTTCGAAATAAACCTCTTTCAAAGAAAAAAAAAGAACTTTGCAATCCGTCCATATAAGACGGAGTGATGCCCGAACATATATAAAAATTATAAACATCTGAATTCAGAACGTCCTCTTTTTTGAAGTCAGTTAAAAAGAAGAAAGCCTTATAGATATCGATAGACGCTATATTATAATCGATATAGTATCGTTTTTAAATAACACAAACGCTGTTTTTTTTAAAAAACGTTACCCTCACACTAGGATTTTCTCCTGTGTCGTGAAGGTAATTTACAAACATAAATTGCACAAGGACAAACATCCTGATTGGGAACAATTATTTGTAGGCCATACAAATACTTGTTCCGTGAGGGATTCGAACCCGCAGCCCCCAGCGCAACTACTCATTGCTAAGCCACTGCGCCACGGAGCCGTCAAATAATTCGTCAGTCAGTTGAGCGTCAATTTTGAATAGTATTCCGCCATTACATCGAGTTTGAAGTTTAATTGAAGTCCTGTCAAGTTATGTTTGTCCTCGAATCTTGTTTCTCTGTCACTACATCCTAGATTTCATATCATTTCACGGAACAAACTTTGCATTGGTCGCTAGTGGTTTACGACGAGTGCATGAAGCAATCGGTCGTGACGGTCACAGTACCTAAAAATAAAAATAATTTAAGATAAAAGTTCTCCGTAGTAAGAATGAACAGACCCAAGTGGTTGTTCTCAGATATGCCGATATACTCATCATGTTTTCCTTCACAACTGTAGTAGTAAATTAGCACTTAGCATTGCAATTAACAAATTATTGCAGGCATACTTCAGCATGGCTCTACCACGTACAAAAAATATTAATAATAAATATTTTTTGTACGTGGTAGAGCCATGCTGCAGCTATATTTCTGGTATAGTTGTAACACGAATGGCTTGGCTCTACCGGGGAAGGACCACGCTCTCACAGAAGACCAGCGTAAAATAGCAACTTAATGCTGCTGTTTCATATGGTGAGTGTAGAGAACCGGAGACCCTTTTTACTGGAAATGACGCATTCCAGCTTAGCCCTCATAGGTGACAACGCATTTGCATTTTGCTATCCTATAAAAAAAAGGCAGGTGGCGAGTTCGGTTTGCTTGCGTACGTTAAAATTTTAAGTCCAGTAAGTACTTATTATCTGAGCTACGATTTTATCACCCTATTCGGCGTGAATCATATTCTGATAATATTGATGATAACAATGAAATATTTTTATGTGATGGAAATAATGAAAATGTAAAACTTTGTATTTAGACCTATTGAATATTAATCTAGTTTTTTTCATTTAAATTTTTCAGAAATGGTTCGATTATAAGCTTCAATGGAATCCAGAAGATTACGGTGGCGTGGAGATGTTGTACGTTCCGTCCGAGCATATTTGGCTTCCTGACATCGTGTTGTATAACAATTGGGACGGAAATTACGAGGCAAGATTTTTTTTTTGTAAACCATCATTTTTAAGTATTAGTAGAAACCAAATTGAATGTATAAGAATTTAATAATACAGACCGCATATTTACCCTTGGACAGACTATACAAAAGACTAAAGTGAAAAGAAATGAAGAGAAAGAAAAGAGAAAGCATGTTTTCAAAAACCTAGTTGTCTATTTTTTTAACTGGCTTTACGGCTCTGGGTTCTAGCCCTTCTGAGCATGTCTATTTACGTAGTTTAGTTTAAGTTTAGTTTATTAGGTGGTTTCTTTTAGACCTAGAAGTCCGTCTAGGTAGGTGCCATCCTTCTAACCCTTTTCTGCTGCAAAATTGCAGTACTTGCACAGCTGTGTTCTGGCCTGAAGGGTAAAGAGAACCAGTGTAATTACAGGATGTGAGGCATTACAGGTTAATCCTCAGAGTTGACAACGCATCAGCCTTCTTTGTTTGAAGTTGGCTGGAGATATGGATCGCAGTTGCTACTTACCATCAGGTTGACTGTAAGGTCGTTTGTCACTATTCGGTCATTTTTACGTGGTAGAGCCATGCTGCAGCTATATTAATAGTATAGTTGTAGCACGAATGGGTCGGATCGACCGGGGAAGGACCACGCTCTCACAGAATACCAGCGTAAAATAGCAGCTTAATGCTGCTGTGTTTCGTATGGTGAGTGTAGAGTACTGGAGACCCTTTTTACTGAAAAAAAAACCATTTTATCTTAGTCCTGACTGACAACATATCTGCATTTTAATTCGCAAATGATGATATATGTCGATGTCTATGGGTCACAGCAACCACTTACCATCAGGTGGATTGTGTGCTCGTTTGTCACCCTTATTCTATAAAAAAACTCAAGTAAATATCTTATTGTTAAAAAATATAATAAAAAATTGGTTTCTATCGTTTCAGGTAACGTTAATGACAAAGGCGACGCTGAAATACACGGGTGAGGTGAACTGGAAGCCGCCGGCGATCTACAAGTCATCATGCGAGATCAACGTGGAATACTTCCCCTTTGACGAGCAGACTTGCTTTATGAAGTTTGGTTCGTGGACTTACAATGGAGCTCAGGTAATAGTTATCTCACATATGGCGCATCCACAGACATATAAATTCGCTGTTATATTTTTGAAATAAAAGAAAGGGTGACGAACGAGCACATAGTTCACCAAATGGTAAGTGGATACTGTGGTCCTTAGACATCTACGTCTCTCATTGATAATGAATCAAAATTTAACTAATATGTATGCCTCATTACCAGTAAAAGAGTTTCCGGTTCTTTACACACGTACGAAATACTGCAGAACTATGCTGCAATTGGACGCTGGTGATTCTGCGAGAGCTTGTTGATTCCTTCTTTGAGCCGATCCATGCTGAAGCCATAACACAGCTGCAGCATGGCTTCACCACGTAGAGATACATAACCTATCTATACTTAGGCCTCTCTTAGAAAACGTCAGATGGCAAGCATTACTTAGAGAAATAGTCACACTCACTTCATCTGGTCTATTGATGAAGGAATGCTGATATTCCCGTGCTGTGCTTGTCTTTTTTTAATAGCTCTACTTACAGTCCACCTGAAGGTAAGTGGCCACTGCAGTCCATGGCCACATTGAACCAATTTCAATTAAAAAGGTCACAGATGCGTTGTCACCTCTGGGGACTAAGATCGAATGTCCCATACTTATACTGGCTCGAGTGTATACTTTTTTTTAATAAAAATAAATTGACAAACTATGATGAACGAGATAGCTCGTACTGTGTTCGGCAATAAGGACGTCAAGCGTGTTTATTAAAGCAAATCATTTTTTAATTTTTATGTATTTAGAAAACCAACAGCTCTTATGAATATACAATGATAATAAACCTAGCAAGCTAACAGCATAGCAAAGTGGCGAAGCAATCAGCTTTGTAGCGGTTTCTAACGGTTGCCGTTGAGCAATCAGTTTCAAAATAGGAGGTTCAGATGCCTGGGTGATCAGTAATCGATTGCTGAAAATAGAATTTGAAAGTTCGAAACCGTTCTCGAGATAATCGTGGGAAAGACGGACAGACGGACAGACATCGTGAAATCAATACACCTAGCAAGCTAACAGCATAGCAAAGTGGCGAAGCAATCAGCTTTGTAGCGGTTTCTAACGGTTGCCGTTGAGCAATCAGTTTCAAAATAGGAGGTTCAGATGCCTGGGTGATCAGTACTTTTACCATTCTAACTAAGCTTTAAATAAATTTACCAAGATTGGTTCACGGTAGTAGTCGAATAGCGGATTCGAACATTCACGTAAATTTAGCGGTCCGTACACTTAAAACGTGGCTGCCTCGTACCGGTAAGCGAAGTGTAGAGCAGCCCCCCACTAGATTAAACGATGACCTGGTAAGAGACGCAGGAAGTCAGTAGATGCTGGTGGCTCAGGACCGTGCTTTGTGGCATTCCTTGAAGAAGGCTTTCCAAATACAAATTGTTTACATATTAAAGTTACAAATTTAAGATGGTACATTTTACTTATGTTCAGCAGTGATACTATGATGGGTTGGAATGACGATGATGAAAATGATTAACTCATTAGGCTATTTTCACCATAAAATGGGAAAAGTCCAGCACTGGACTTTAATAACAAGCTGATGATGATGACTATTAATTCTGTATCTTGTTTCGTGGGTGTCATCAATGTCGATATAGGATCAAAAATATTCTAACCATCCGACTTTTGAATTACCAGCTGCAAAAATGCAGACCAAACAGCTACGATTTCAATGAACTGGACTATGATGACCAGTGATTATAAAAATTTCTCTTAGGTGAAAATAAATTCATATCCAGTTGGATCATCACACGTTCGTGCAACGTCTGTGGACGATAATGATTAAAATTGTATTTTGTACATTAGGTGGATCTAAAACATATGGATCAATCTCCCGGTAGCAGCCTAGTGCATGTTGGCATTGATCTAAGCGAATTTTACCTGTCAGTTGAGTGGGATATTCTAGAGGTGCCCGCCACTAGGAACGAAGAATACTATCCGTGTTGTCCTGAGCCTTTCTCCGGTAAGTGATAACTTTAATATTAGTAGGGTTTGGTCATTAAAATATTATATAAACATATTTTAAGTGAACTCTTGAAAATTATTTGTACTGTACAAGTGTCTCAAATTATTGCTGTTTTCTTTGTTGTTGCATAATTTTTTGTTGTGGTACCTAAATGACATGCTTATGAGTATTTTGGATTTGGTTCTTTTTCGTTTATAGCTTTTATTAGAATAATAATTACATTTTTTTGTAAGGACATTAACACGCCTTTTGTGTGGCTGTATCTACTAAACGCACCAACGAATCATGTCAGTTTTTATACTTTGCGTATAGCTACTGTACTGTAATGATAGCTTCAATGGCTGCACTTACCAAACGCAACAACGTCATGCAGGCAGACCGACTCCATATCATTCACATAAATGTTCTACACGCTATTGATACTAAATCAACCATACTAACGACAGTTAAGTTAATCCTGTGTCAGCTCTCGGAATATGTACATAATATGGAATAAGAGAGGCAAACGAGCACACATTTCACCTGATGGTAAATGAAATGTTGTGGCTCATAGAAGTCTATATCTATCATCGATTAAGAATCAAGATACAGATGCAATCTAACTCCTCATTTTCACTGTAAACGGTCTCCGCTTTTCTACACTCCCCATACCACACACGGCAGTATCAAGCTGTTATTTTCAGCTGGTTTTCTGTGTGAGCGTGGTCCTTCCCCGATCGAGCCGACACATTCATACTACAAACATATGAGTATTATGTTTGTAGTATGAATGTTATATTATGAGTTGCAACATATAACTACACGCACTCGAACCAAACGGTTTGCTTCGTCGTTTGTAATGCGCACAGCAAAAGAATCGGAATCATTTGCCATCATCAGCATCTGTCTTTTCATTTGATTATAATGAGGATATCTTCATGGCAAGAGTGAATAGGCTTTTGTTAAGCTAAGTCAGTGCGCTTTATCATCTTCAACTGCATCACCGCTATCCGTCAACTGGGATATTGCTCAATCACTGGCTTAACATATTAAACAAGTGGTAAAATTAATAATTTTGTACAACCGACTTCAATATAAATAAAATGTAGTCGAAGTCATTTAAATACGCATTATTAAGGATAACTCAAAACTACTGGTGAGATCTTGATCAAATGTATATGAGACCACATGAGAAGCATCAAATTTCAATTAAATAATAAAAATTAGTTTTTGAAAAATTGAGACCCTCCTCCTGTTTTTATAGTCGGTGGAAAATGTATGATTGTAAGTAATATTTAAGTATTTGTTGCAGATATTACATTCAAATTAACGATGCGTAGAAAGACTCTATTCTACACAGTGAACCTGATCATTCCGTGTGTTGGTCTTACGTTCCTAACTGTTCTAGTATTTTACTTGCCGTCAGACTCCGGTGAAAAGGTAAAATGTTTATCTTCCATGTAAGTATTGTATATGAAATGTAATTACACAAAACGTTTTTGAGATTGAATGTACATACTTTGTGTGTTGTGAATTTTATAATGATAGGGACACTGATTTTTTTTTCTTTTTGTGGCTGCTTATAGAGTAAGAAATGGCTTCGCTTGATTCAACGAAATATGGTTCATGTATTTTTTAATTTTCTTATTTTATTTATGGCAATATGTTAAATAGAATTTTGATTTTTATTTATTTGTTATGAGTTGGCTATTATTATTCTTAGTAAAAGACTAACACAGAGTAAAGCGTAAATCCTCTGTATTTTGGAAGTCTGATGATTTTCCTTTAAATCACATTCTCTTCATAAAATTGTTTTTCATATGATAAAAAAGTCTAAGGTTATTAATGATATTATTCGTATTGATTATATACACGTAATCGGAGACACTCGGATGTGTCATATCTGTTTTCTGCTCATGGAGGAAAATAAATAGCAAGTCAACAAAAATCAATCATCTCAAATATTTTGTGGATGTGTTATTAATAAAAGCTGTAAATTAATAAACATGCAAATTTTTTTAAACAGTCCTGTGATTGAGAAATGTAATTTTTCTAAATTACTCTTCTAAGAGATTCCTAAATGTATGTTAGGGAACATAACTCCTTTAATTAAATATGAAAAAAAAAATGAAATGACTTCATAAAGTCATGGCATTTAGATTTTCGAGAAAAACGATGAAGTAATATTATACATATTAATATAGCAAGGATTCGGATATAATATGTAAATACTATACATGTAAACAGTCAAAGTGACGAAATGCAACCAGTCAGATTCATTACCGAATTTGTGACGTATTAAAAAGTTTCGAAGTGGTTACACAGATTTTTTAAATATTACTTAAAGTACTTGCTAAAAACAATTATATTTTTTCTAGTTTTGGTATATTGAGAAATGTTAAGGTATTATCTAAATTATAAATTTTAAGTACGTCAAAAAAATCAGTGTCTCTAAAAATATGTTATCCAAGGGCATGCTCATTTCCATCCTCCAATCCATATAAGAACCCATTGTCCATTTGCCAAACATCTCGTCCGTTGCAGTTGTCAGTCTTTTTTGATTCATTGGCTGTTTGTGTGAGTGTGGTAGTGTCATCAAAATTATTTTGCGCATCATTAACTTTTGTCTTTCCACACAAAAGTTTTAAAGAAATAAAGTTAACTCTAAACATTTAAAAAAAACAACAACTTCGAGTTTAAATACCATAAATTAAGTGATTAGAGTTTTTCCGACAGAAATGTTGATCTAGTCCAAAATTATATTATATAAAGGGATAGTTACGTATAGATTAAAAGTTACTTCATTCACATTGTAATAAACACATAACGCTTAGCACGAGTAAATATAGACAAAATATGCGATTTCTCGTTTTATTTTATATAGTTATTGTATAAACTAATTCTAATAAGATAAATAAATTTGTTAGCTTATCTCCATTAAACATATTTAAATGAATTGATTACAAATTTTTAAGATAATAAAATACTTTTTTCTTGAAAAAATAATTACTAAGTAATTACGGAAATCTGTATTAAAGCCACTATATTTTCTGTGTATAAAGTATACATATGGGTTTACAAATCCAAAAGTAATCATAAAATTTATGTCAGGAATGTATTCATGTAATATCAAAATATAATCTAAATATAATTTGCCTACAATTGAAATTTTGATTTTCGATAAGGCACGTGAAGTGGAAAAAACCTGCAGTTTACAAAATAGCGAACTACCTTTTATACATCTGTAGATATAAAACTCCTAGTTGAAGGTTATAAAACCAAATTGAAAGCAATTAAAAGCGCTTATTATAACACAAACAGTTCTAAATATTTTTTGTCTTGCTGTGATAGTATTATACTAAGAGAATCTCAATGACCATGCAGTTGGCATATCAACTTATTGAGTCTGAGATAAGAAATTCGAATACTGAATTAAGTTTATATTTTGTGCAAAGGAAGGTGTTGTATTTTGGGTACTGATTTTTTATTTCGCAAAAAGTTACATTCAAACGCTAATCTATGATGATGTGGATTATATTAACATCATCATAAAATAAGACGTATGCAGATCTTATTCTGTATCTTCTTGAGATATATTCAATTCAAGTTTAAATAACAAAAAAAAAAATTATAAAGATTGATGCGTTTTAATATCGACAATTATTTTTTCCGTATATAAAAAAAAATGTTTTTTCTTTCTTATAATTATTCTATGTTATGAAAATTGGCTTCGTGTTTTAAAAGCATGCGTTACTTTTATTATACTTTTTCTTAATTATTTGCTTCGTTTTCGTCAAAATTATTGCATTTACAACAGGGTAAGATTTTGTTCCACTTCCCAAATAAAAATTCTAATGATGTTAATGTTAATATCTCATAATAAAAACCAATTAAAATAAATAAGTGTGTAAAGAATTTTTGTAACCGATTAATACTAGTTGATATTTCAATCACCAGCTCATCATTCTAAATCAATCATCATTTAAATATCGGCGTATTATAAAAGTTATCAGTCCATCAAATGAATTATAATATGACTGAACACAAAAGTGAAACAATAACTATTTTATTTATACTACTGTAATTTATAATTTAAGTTGAATTCTGTCATATGAATAACTCATCTGATATTTAAAAATAACTTCGAGTACTGGGAATGGAACAAAATTTTTCTCTGTTGTAGCTTTATTAATATGAATAAATTTTTTAATAAACTAATGAAATTTCCTTTAAATAATTTAACCTCAAAATAGCGACTATTAAATTGCATCAAAGATTATTAGGCAATGACTTCTCCAATAATGTAGAAATTATCAAAACACTTATAAACAAAGACTTGCCAAGGATCTCTATGATAATGTAACATTGATTTCAATTATTGATAATAGTCGCCATTTTGAGCGCGCATCCTAAGATCAGTGGAAAGACAACTGGCGAATTATCAATACCGTGTAACTCAAAAAGGACTTCTCTCCCTTAGATTTCGCTCTGCATCTCCATCCTGGTGTCCCTCACTGTGTTCTTCCTTGGTCTGGCGGAGATTATACCGCCAACGTCCCTGGCGATCCCTTTGCTTGGGAAATATCTGCTATTCACCATGATACTCGTCTCGCTCAGCGTATGGGTCACTGTATGCATTGTAAACGTCCATTTCAGGTAATCCTTATGTATCTTTTTCTTTTTCGTAGATATCATTAAGCATCTCGATACTGGTATCACTGACAGTGTTCTTCCTGTTGATGGCCGAGATTATACCGCCTACGTCACTGGCGATACCGTTGTTAGGGAAGTATTTGCTGTTCACAATGATATTGGTGTCATTAAGTGTGTGGATGACGGTGTTGGTACTTAACGTGCATTTTAGGTGAGTGAGGCTTGTTCATTAGTTGGACTGTTCTCATTTTTTTAATATCTGTTTTCTTGTTTATCGGTTATTTCACTTTCGTATTAATACAATAATTAATATTTATAACTCCGAAGTTTATAGCGCAAGATGAAATTTATGAAGTAGTTTGAATCTCTTATTTCAATAAAAACAATTTTAAAACGATTCAAAGGAAATTATTATAAATATTTAGTATTCCCATATTAAGTGTTACAAGATGTGTTTGTAACGAGAAAATTTTGAATATAATGCCCATTTAATATTGGTTATAAAGCGACTTATTTTGCGTTGGAATTCATGGATATAATGATGCAGGGATTAGACAATTGAGTGTTGTCACTGAGTGAGTTTTAAACAGCTGCCTAATCGCTCAAATTTTTTTAAAAATAAAACATTGTTTTAAGAGACATTCCATATCGAATATGTCATCGATCTACTGGAAATCTTGCCGTGGAAAAACAATGACTCAATGACGATGAACAATGATTAATAGGCTTAGACTGACTATTAACCATTAATTTATCTGTTTAATAAAAAAATTTACAATTCATTTCGTCATGATGATCACCCATTTTTAACTTCTAAAAAGAAAGGACGCTTTTGAGTGATTAGCAACGACTAAAATTTTAGTTATGGACAGAACACATAACAGAGTAGCACAGATAATAATCAACAGCTTATACGTTTACGCATAGCATCGATAGACGGTAGCACATGTATTTTAAAAACTTTATTTCGATATATGTTTCAACACCCCTACTTATAAAAATAAGCTGATATTCCAGTATTAGTTCAAATGCATATCTACAAAATTAAACATACTCATACATAACTATTTAGTACTTCTGATGCCTAGTGATTATAAAAAAGTAATAAGGCTTTACATTAGGTAAACTTTTGGTAAGTAAATCAGCTCGCATCTTTGATGTTTTTAAATACTGCAATTTTTTCAATTTTATCTTTAAAGCAATCTCTCCAAAAAATGAAATCTCACATCAATATTTTTTGTAAAATTGTGAAATAAATTATTAACAGACACCTTTGGAGCACCTTAATTGTCATTGAAGACATTTACAGTATGTAATTTTGCTATTATTTCACAAATTAAAGATCTTAGATAGATCGTTTCTTTACATGTCTTTGTGATACTCTATCCCGAACGGTTCGCGGTCCCTGCCATGTTTTATAAAATACAGAAAATTCGTACTTCTGCTCACATTTGTGGTTATCACGTCCGCAGTTTAATGCCTAGATCGGATTATTTTCTTTTAATGTGTTCCCTAATAATGACGTTCCTAAATTACCCTTAAAAGTTTTCAACTACTATGGTTAGTATTTTACAAGACGGCACTAAACATAAGTTTAAATTTTTTACTTCATTTAACTGCTAAGTTTGAGCACCTGTGGTGAAAAAAAAAACGTATAGGATCTGTGTGGCCAACCATTTAAAAAGTTTGCCTATATCATAAGGATTCTAAAACATTAGCATACCATGTACTTAATGTCATTACTTACTAAGCTATAGCCGTTAACGTGTAAAAGTTGGCATTTCATTACAAAATTATTAGCAGATAACTTTTTTTAACATTGCATGTCTTTATTAGATAAGTACTTACACTGCGAACCGTTCGGGATAGAATTTTTTTTAGGGTACCGAGGCCACCTCCCTCCCACCCGAACACGTACATACCAGATTATCCACCATTACTGGGACAGCCTGTATATCACTTAAACAAGTTAAATTTACAAAATCAATTTAAATCAGAGTATGCTTTTTATTATTTAAATGACTACTTTCTTCCCAACCGTTTTCCATTACTACCTAAAAACTTGTATGACAGAAAATGATTTAAGCTATAAGATGTTTGGATCCTATAACCCGATACTGTAAGGTTCAATAAAGAATAAATAAATATATAAACCATGTACAAAATATCGACACGTGAATGTGTTGAATAAGTATTACCCATTTATTTAAAGTTTGGCACGTCGATAACGAGACAATAGCATGTGAAATATTACCTTAATAGCATGTTTAGGCTGGAGAGCACGGCTTGTACTGAATGCAGTATCACATTTTCTGCATATAATACGTTGTAACAAAAAATGTAACATTTTTAATATATGAACGTATATATTACGTTCATATATTAAAAATGTTACATTTTTTGTTTGGGCATAAACAACCTTTTTCATTTAAAAATTTAAAAGAAAAATCGAAATCTTTATTTTAAAAACCTTTGTTAAAACAATAATTTTATGTGGGAATTTATTTTATGGTAAATAAGATAAGTAAGATTTTAGACAAAGATTTGGTATATTATATGCTAATCCTAATGATTGTAGGAGCTCAACACCCTTCTTTAATATAATTTATTTAAGCAAATAAAGTGTCTTTTTCTATTAACCTAGAGTTACATCATAATTCAATTATTAAGAAAATTTTATGTTTTGTAATTTTTTGGCTTTAGCAGATGATTTGAGGGAAAACTTAATGAGTATTAATGGGTTTCTCGGACAATTTTAGATGACATAGATGATGATACGATAGATGTAAAATAAATTTTGCAAACCCCGTTTAATATGGGTGAGACTAATATCCAGCAGTGGACTTCTACGAGAAGAATATTATAATAATCTAATCCAGATCAAATTTAGGTTACGGCGGCCAGTCTCAACGAACACTAGTTATCAGCGCAGAGCGCAAGCAAGGGTGCATTCTCTAGTCTCGTATGACGGCAATCTGCATCGAATGCAGAGAGATCATGCGCAGGACCAACGGCTTTATATGAAAACATCGCCAAACGTGACCTTGAGAAAAACCCAATAATTAATCGTTGCTTACCCGAGACGACATGATCAGCACTTGCTCTTACTTCCACTAGATGGACAAGGCAATCAAGAGTAGAATAGAATATTATAATATCAATGACGATGTTAAGAATTCAACATCGTACGACATTTAATTACTTGTAGGTATATCCTTAAAAATCTCATGATAAACTGGTAAATCTCTAAAAGGGGGCAATTTACTGATCTCAAAGATCCTTAAGCTCTACCTTAAACATTGGACTTTGGGTACATCGTAGTACGTTACAAATATGAATAGTACTTTCATCCTACACTATGTAATGTTATAAAAATTTGAAACATATGTATGTTTCTGTAATATAATCTAGGTAATAACAAATTATGGTTGTATAACCTGAAAATGTCGAAGGCTTCGAACTTCGAAGACATTACGAGTAATTCTTTCACAGATGATAGTTTTGGTCACTGTCAGATGTTTTGGACAAAAATATCTCTAGAAGTATAAAATTAACTGCTTAATAGATATTTGCTTAAAAAGTCTAATTTTGATTAAAAGAAAAATTGAATGTACCTGGATGCGACTGACGACAAGTAGAGTCTATATCATACAAGTATGCATGACAAACAAAAACACGCTGCTTCTTTGTTGTGCAGTTGGAACGCCCCGCCACGTTGCATTCATATTACCATTTACATTAACATTGAGTGTGTACAAAGACACGTATATGTCTTTAATTAAGTTTCTATAAACGAATATTTTGGAGGTGATAATGGAAATACGATCTAAAAAAATATATTATATAAACATTAGCACAATTTAACGACGTATTCATTTTTTAAATGTTAATTATGTTGTTATTAAAGAGAGTGATATTAAGAAATACTTTGGATGTATTATGGGAACTCAGGGATAAAGCGTTCGTAATCGCTCCTTAAATTTATATACCATATACCATCCACACCATCTGGATGATTGGCGGTCCACCACTGTGCGATTTAGAAGATGTTTTCTTCCTCGCACAACTTCCTTGTGGAATCGATTACCATCAGCGATTTTTCCGGACCGATACGACTTAGGGACCTTCAAGAAAAGAGCGTACTCCTTTTTAAAAGGCCGGCAACGCATCTGCAATTCCCTCCCTGGTGTTGCAGTTGTTAATGGGCGGTGGTAGTCACTTACCATCAGGTGAGCTGCATGCTCGTTTGCCCCCTCTCCTATAAAAAAATTTACGGTTTACAGTAATCTACCGCTTGTTGCACGTTAAAGGAAAACATCGTAAAGAAAGAAACCTGCACGTCTGAGAAATTAGAATAATATTTCGTCGGCATGTGCAGTCCACCAAGATGCAATGTAGCACGGTAGACACTTTTCTGCTCTAAAGTTAACTCAAAAATTAAATGACGACCATCTCCAACTAAGGATATATAGCTGCTACTTTTTTTTCATAGCAAAATTTTATAACTGAAATGTCAAAAGAAAAACCCTTTCACAATGTCGTGTTGTGTAATGTCATTAAAATAGCTCTATCAATATCTCTAGCAATTCCAATAACTATTGATTAAATCTGTAATAAAAGTATCTTTCAAAGTAAAATAAAATATCTTTTTACTAGTTGATAATGAACTATTAATTTAACTTTTAAAGTGAACGGCTGCTCTTATACTTGGTTGCTATAAAATTTAACAAACTGCACTTGGTAATTGGCGCCATAAAGGCTCTGTTACACCGATGTTAACGATCTTTCAATAGTTTCCATTTAGTTTGTTAATTTTCATAATATCTTTTTAAATTGTTCAAGTAAGTTGTAATTAAAAAAGGAATATAAAGAGAAGTAATGAATGTCAACCACATCAACGAAGTTGTTGTCTTATTTTCTTTATGAAAAACGTCTTTTCCCAAATTCTTTTAAAGCTTTTTTTTTAATTGGCTGTTTCTATGTTTCTCACTTTGCTATCCCTC